AATCAATCAATCAATCAATCAATCAATCAATCAATCAATCAATCAATCAATCAATCAATCAATCAATCAATCGATCGATCGATCATTCATTCAATCATTCAATCAACCAACCAACCAACCAATCAATCAATCAAACATTTAATTTAAATGCCACAAAAAAAAATTTGACTGCACCGCTAAGGACTATTAAAGTTATATATTATTTCAATGCACAAGCATATTAATCTAGTTTAAATTCAATTTTATTTTAAATTACAACAAATTTTATTTTAAATTACAACAACTTTAAAATTTATAAAAAATTTTATTTTTAAATAGATGAAAAATAAATCTAATCTTATTAAACTTAATCTTAAATGGCCTAAACATTTTTCAAGCCTGTTTTATACATAAATCTTCTATTCAATGAATTGATACCGATTGTTAGCATTTAGTCCAAATTTATGAACTTTCAAATTTCTAAAAATCTCATTGTTTTACCAATTTAAATTATTTATTCCTAATTATCCAGCAGTTATTTTCAATGTCATTTCGATTAAATTGAAACTTGATATTTGTTTGATGAAAAGTTTTTGAGCGTACGAGAAATCGTACAATGACTTCAAGTCGAAGCACTCATTCGGAGTGATCAAGAATTGTTCGCCAATCAGATAAAGAGTAGTTGCTTACATTTGGCCATATATTCTGCAAGTCCAATTCCACAAATGATAAGTACAAATGATAAACAAATAATACAAATGGACATGGACAATACTTTCTGAAAGTAACTCAGCTGAGGCGCTGTACAAATCCTCATGACATAAAAACTTAAGAAAGTGAATGCTGACTGTTACAACATATTTTATACAGGTTGTAAATATTATCATCAATTAATTTCATCTATAATTTGCCCGCAAATGCAGGAAGCCCTCTTCTAACGAGAAAACAACAAAAATTTACAGGTCTTCTTCTATAAAAGAAAGGTTTCAACTTTTTAATGTTTACCATGTATTCAATTCTGAGCACTTCAAACAAATGTAAACGAGATTAAACTTATTTTTTCAGAACAACTAGCGAATCCAAACTGCAAAGAGTGCCTTCAATCAAAGGAGCAGACTCCAGTTATTTTCCAAGGTTCGTAGTTTTAACCAATCATTTATTCAATCATTTATTTATTCATGTATACATTCTTTCATTTATATTAACAACCAGCCTCATATCCCACAATCCAAACATTGGCATAGGGCAACCTAAGGAGACAACACGGGGACACCTTTTCAAAACAACTAGCAGAGGAAGTGTAGTTAGTGCCAACATCTCGAGAAGTACTGCTTCTTCAATGTTCAGAGATTTTCCTCTGAAAAAAAAATTTATAAATTTGTTTAAGAAACACTGATAAAAATAATATTGTAAATTATTAGATCAACAATTCAATTTTTGTTTGTAGATAAACATTTTGATGGGAACTGAAAACTATCTGCCCGAAAATAATATTTGAGTTTTTGTGCTTTTGCGTCTTTATATGCACTATATATGCACTATATGCCTTTAGAAAACTTTGAAAAAAATTAAATAACATCACACAGTATATTTGCTCAAATTTATTAAGAACCATATTGGTGAAAATTTTGTTACTCATATAAAAGTGTAAACCTTTTCCGCTTGGCGGAGTCTTTACTCTGTTCTAATATCAGCCTAGCCAGTCTCGCTTTTGGCCGAGACTCGCTTCCTCAAAAACGTTTATTTCCGGGTCGGAAAACACGGGCCGGGCGGAAGTGCTTTCGCGCCCTACTTGTCAGTCGGTCAATCCAGTTTTACTAACCGCTGACAAGTCTTTTTCATACATGTGTTATATGTTGAACAAGACAAACAAAAGCTAAAAGAAATAAATTTATTACAAACAAGAAAGAAAATAAACTTAATCTGCAAAATAAATGTTCTCCAAATGTTCCACACTAAAAAATAAACTAAATTAAAACAGCAACAGAACACAGTAACTAAATTCAGAAAAATAAACCCGCAGAACAATATCACCAATTACCAAAATGATCAAAACCTAACACGTACACGCCAGGATCCGAACTACCTCCAAAAACTACACCAAACTCTCTGCCAAAAACTAACTAAAAAACATTCCCAAAAACTAACTTAAAAACTCCTAAACTAAACTAAAACAATTGTCCAAAATACTTACATATTAATTCACATGAGCAACCATTCATCTTAATATACTCACTATACTCGCGCCATACTATTCCCATAAAACCAATTCACAAAACATTCCACCAGCATGCATACAAAACCAGTTTATACAAAGTTTTACCAACATGCATACCAGACCACTCTATACAACAACGCGCCAAACCAACCAATACACTCACATGAAACATTTATTCATAAACGCGCGCCAAAAAACTTCACAAAAGTATTTGTGAGCTTGTAAAAACATTTGTTGAAAAAGTTTTTAATTTTTAGTAGCGCCAAATGCAAACAATTTTCAATATTTATCATAAATTTGATCACGTAGAAAAGACTATAAGCATGTTAAAATCAGGATAAGTTTACTCCAAAGTAAACACAAAAAACAGTTCATCGTCCTGGCGCAAAAATAGCTGCCAAATGATAACTTCTGTTATTTTTTATTTATAAACACAAGTAATTCGGGTTTTGCAAATTTGCTTTTTGCGATTCGAGTAAATTTTTCAGCTCATTTTATCTCATTGCTTAACTTAATCACATCAATGATGCGGTGTAGAATCATAAGGGACCAGTTCACCAGTTGTGAGCAGTGTTTCGATTCGATTAAAAGTAAAACGAGTTTTTGACAAGAAAAGATCCGTTAGGTAAAAAATGAATCAAATGCGACGTGATTAGCAAAATAAGGTCGCCAGCGTAATTTTGGCCACAATAGCGAACATTTGGTCAGTTATTGGTCCCCCGCCAGCACTCCCCGTCATTTTTCATAAGCGTTTCTACATTTACAACATTTTGGCCTTCCCCCGTCAACGTTGTCTAGACCCGCAGCTGCATCAATGTTATCTGGATCCGAATAATTTAAGAGATATTTAATTTCTTAGTTTGTTGTTGTGCATCAACCAAATTTGTAAAGTTTCATTTTTTTGTATTTAACATCTCAATGTATGTTTTATTACTCCGGAAATGTCGACAGCAAGTTTTGCTTCTTAAGTTTTCACTTTTTTTGGGAATTGTTTGAAAAACTACCAAATTGAATGGTTTAATATCAATTACTATTTTGTGTGATGCGACTATGAAAAGCGGTTGCTTCCGAATTAGTATTTTTGTGAAAGCTAATGTAACGCGATAAAGGCGCTTGCTTACAAACGCCTTTTATTCATCAAAAAAGATGATTTTTTGACATGAAAGCCGTAGACATTTGTCCCGTTTACCTGTTGCTTAAACCGGCCTTGGCATCAGCAAGACAACTTTGAACATGTAGGCATTTAAATTATTTGGCGGCAGAGGCGAACCAAGAAACATTAGTACTGAAGCCTCCCCCAATCCACGCACATGACCTGGCTTGTTTATATTTAATATCCTGCAATGTTTTTCGTGTTTGCGTGGGTTTTTCAAAAATATATATTTTACGCCTACCAAAGCACGTGATCTGGATTGACCATGAAAGCCTATCGATTTCCCTTGGTTAAAATGCGTTTGAAGGTATAAGTTATTTTTAATCCCCACATCAAAAGGCAATGTTTTTAAACCCTGTTTTTGCACACACCAAAACAATAAAACGCGCCAGTACCAAGTAATAAACGATGCAGCTCTAAAAAAAACTTTCTAGTGCAGCACTTGATTTCAAAAACACGTTAGCAGCCACTCAATAACTTTGTGCCATTTAACCCATATTTTCAAACCGGTAGACTCAAAATTTGCCGCTGCAGGTCAGTGCCTTAATCAGACAGTGTACAAACTGATATCCAGGCGATAACAATGGATCAGTCTTGTTGTTGTTAACTCGTTGCCAGGTACCAATTAGTATGAAATGAGTTTTATCCTGATTCATTTTTATTCCATTTTGAGCCATCCACACATCAACAGCATTTAAACTTCGTAACTTGTCAAATAAATTATTCGACTCACAATTAGGCGTCGGCAATCACCTGAATGTTATCAGCACAGCCATAACTTTTTATGTTAAATACTTTTACTATATCTAAAACATCAGCTGTATACAGCATAAAAAGCGGGCCCAACAGACCCTTGTTGGAAACCAGGCAGGATATCAACAGCATTTAACAAACCTTATTACATTCTAGAAGACAAAGCTATTAGCATTTCACGTTTTGAAAATTTAGAATATTTTTAAATTTGTTATCGGTTGTAATTAGCCGTTTTCGGTTGAACGAACATTTTTAATAGTAGAAATATGGCATGTCCATGCTCGAACCTCCCAAAATTTCTCGATCCACACAATTCCTGAATTATTTTTACTATTTGAGGTTTAAAATAAGCTCTAAAATTTACATGAACTCTAGCAAATTTCAAAGAAACATATTTACACCAAACGTTGAAAAAAATAAAAAATTGTTTCTATTCATTATCAGATTCACTGTCTCGCGAATAGGATCTATTTTTGGCGCGTTTTTTTACTGGACTACTCTCCCTCGAAGAGCTTCTGTTTCTTTTGCTTGATTTGTTTCTAGATTCTTCTTCACTGCTATCATAACGCCTTGTATCATCACGGAGCTTTCTTTTTGTGCTATCACTTCCTTCTTCCGTGTGTTCGTTTCCTTTTCTCTCATCATCTTCACTTTCTTTTCTACTGCTTCCCCTGTCAGCGTTAGCACCGTAATCATTTCTAGTTCTCGATCTATTATCATCACTTTTTCTGCTGTAACTTCTTTTGCATCTTCTTTCATCGTCTCTGCTTTCACTTCTTTCATTTCTTCTGTTCCTTCGACCACTCAAACTGCGGTCTCTGCTTTCACTTCGGTCTGTAAATCTTCTCCTGCTCCTCGATCGACTTCTTGATCGACTGCATAAAAATCATTTTTAGTTTATTGTACTAAGGTTATTATCATTATCATCACTATACACAAAGACTTGGCTAACCTGGGAGCATTGTTGACATCTTCTATCAGTTTTATTTTTCTCCCATTGATTTCAGTACCATCCAACTTTTCTTTAGCTTTTTTCATATCAGCATATGACGCGAATTCAACAACACTATATTCGACAATAATGTATAACAGTTTACACAAAATTGAAAACAAACAAATAACAAAAAAATGTAAATTAATTTAATCACGATGGTAAATGTAATGACTCATTTCACCAACCCAACATTTTTCTCTCCCTTGTGAGCATCAGCAAAAGTTACATCACCAGCTTGCCTCATATAATCTTTAAGATCCTGAGGACCAGAATGAAAATTATAACAAGAACATCAAATACATCTACTAATATATAAGCCGGTAGCCTTAATGGAATGGTTAATGATTGAAATGTGTTTCACATCTGCAGGAATGAAACAGTAATCTGCTCTTAAATCAATCAATCATCTGCAACTTCTGAAAGAATGAACTGTCACTCTCATCTCCCACAGTGCATGTGCTATTCATATGATATCATCACCATCATCAGCAGCAGTGCTTAGACTAAGACATCAGCTTTTAATATTTATAACGCACAATGTAATATGATAAGGAATGTGAATTATTTCATGACCACATGCTTGTAGGTTAGAAATTAAAAATAAAAAATGTTACCTGCCAGCTGACTCTTGACGACAAGTTTTCAACTATCAATTTGTAACCTGTCCTAACAGGAGCACCGTACCTGCAGTAATTTGTTTGAGTTGATCTAGTTATTTTTTTTAAAATCTGATCACCTAAACTAAAGGATCCCAGTTTAGATGGTCATCCCAATACAAAATAAATCTTTTCTGGTATAGTTCAAACTAACACATTTATTTTAAGAGTTTATTCTAATTGTTAACACATTTATCATTACAATTCTTTAAATTTGAGACATTTTTTCTCAAATTCAGTTGATAAACAATGAAAGTACCAAAGCTGTACATTAAATTATAATTAAATAAATTGGGATGACAACTGCAAATTAATGCAAGCATTCAAGCAACTTGGAAAAAAATTGCACAAGCTTGTCTAAGCAACATAAGTACTGAAACACACTAACTTGTCTAGCCAGGTTGGCCTCGGTCCTCTTGGAAATCTCTGTGGTGGAGGTGCACTTCTGCCAAATGATGACCTTCTTGCAGGACCTTTAGCATGTTCAACTATGACCCTGAAATTGTCATCATTATTGTCATTAGTTTTAACACATGAATGCTGCAGCAAATTACAAAAAGAATTTTCCAATCTCATAGAGATGTAAACTAATACTTAAATATTGATTACTTACCTTTCACCTAACAATTCCTTTCCGTGTAATTCATATACAGCATCATCAGCATCCCTCTCATCTTCTAGGTCCTTCAGTTAAAAAATAAATTAAAATTTAGACAAAATATGAGAAATTATAAACGAGATCAGCGAAGTTATCATCAAAAGTGATCTGACTCGACACCTGGTGCATCATTAATTTTGAAAATTAACAGAGCAGAAAAAAGTAATGTGGTAATGTGATCAGTGAAGTTATCATCATAATTGATATGACCCGAAAGATGGTGCATCATTTCACAAATTTAAAAAGTTTATTTGTTCTTTGTATTACATAAAAAAATATTATTTAAAAAAACACTGAGAACATGGTGCCTACAGTAACAATGATGATATTAATAAAAATAATATTAATCTAATTTTTAAATTAATAGAGGCACATATAAATTGTAATTTTAATGTGATCAGTGAAGTTATCATCATAATTGATATGACCCGAAAGATGGTGCATCATTTCACAAATTTAAAGAATTTATTTGTTCTTTGTATTACATAATAATAATGTCATTGTTGTATAGCGCCATGGCAAGTGGCTGAGGCGCATTATCATTACGACAAGCACACGGTGCATAAATACATGTGAATCAACTCATCACACACTTTTGCATGTGATAGGCGGGGATCTTTTTACATTCGAACCAGGACACTGCATCAACAATGCCAGGCACCTTAGCCATTACACCATTGCGCCGACCATATAAAAATACTATTAAAAAACACTAAGAACATGGTGCCTACAGTAACAATGATGATATTAATAAAAATAATATTAATCTTTCAAATTAATAGAGGCACATATAAATTGTAATTTTAATGTGATCAGTGAAGTCAAAATTTATGAACAAACATCTTTACAATTTGTTTCAACAAACTAAATGACTAACTGATTTAAAATATATCAACAAATAAGAGACAAAACAAAACATACTACGATAATGTGATCAGTGAAGTTATCATCACAACTTTTATGACCCGAAAGATAGTGCATCATCTCACATCATGTTCAACTTTATAAAAAAAATTAACTCTAATGATCAATATAAACGACTAACAACTTTAAGCACATGAAATTCTAAACCTTGTATGAATGAAAACAAATGCATAATTTTAAATTTACACATCATAGCCGAGTTTTCGTATAAATTTTTTCATTTCTATTTTACTTTTGTTAAATTTTCTGGTTTTGGTCTTCATTTTGAAATGTATTGTAAAACAGTTTGTTCCACTTGTAATAACTTCAAACCTCAGTCATCAAGAAACATTCCATCCATTCATATTTCTACAAGTTGGTTTAGCTGTATTAGTTAAAATTTGTTAAAAATTTGCGTCTGAAACGTTGCATAACAATGGCTAATACAGCTACAACAGCATGTTCAGTAACAAATACAAAGGTTGGAAAACCATTTTACAAGATGAATCTAAAATCATTTCCACTAAAGACTAACAGAGACATTTTTTGTAAAACAATCGGTAAAACCTTAGCACTACACATGTTCACCTTTAAATTTACCCAATAATATACTATCTATAAATATAATGTAAATGGAAAACTTCATGTGATAATAAATTATATACATCTTTAATTTTTCAAATGCTGAAAAAGAAATTCAATTTTTTTCTCTTTTTTCAGACTATGCATAACCTACAGGCACAACCTATTACCAGAGGTCACAACATTTACTGCAGACCTAGTAATTTATGCTGTATAGTATACAAGTATACTATTGAATTGACTAAGTAAAAAAACATTTTGTAATATTTTACCTTTGACCTAGTAAATTTTCAACATATTTTCAATTTATGCAATATATTTACTGCTGATAATATAATAAAATAACATCCGGGTATTATTGTATTGATTTAATGCGGACCCAGTAAATCTTCCTATAATATATAAAATTTAATAAATTGAACACATCCAGCTCATGTAGCTGAAAAAATATGTAGCAGGATAAATAAAAATTAAAAGCTTGGCTTCTTTTTGGCAATACAAAAGTACTGTACGCGAAATATTAAGCATCACGATATAATATAAAATACTAAAATTGAATAACTTAAAATTTAAATAAGGAGAAAGTATTGAAAAACAAACCGACCACGAAGCCATAGCCATTTTTCAATGACATGAAGCGAATTCTGCCGAAACCCTTGAAAAATTTTTCAATGTCTCTTTCGCTGGTTCTACTGCTTATTCTTCCAATATAAATTCTGTTCGACATTTGGCCTTGTAATTCTAATAAATTTGCTAACAAAAAATGTATGAAACATGCGGCAAACTACATCAATGCACGACATCCAGCAACTAAATAGAGAAACAAACGGAATCGGAAATAGTTAAATAAAACAAAGACCATTAATTTACAGAGAACCCAAAAAACAGCAATTATTTTCAAACGTTTTTATTATGAACACACAATTTTTTAAATACTAAATAATTTCAATAAGATTTAAATGTTTGTAGTAATAAACAAATAATCTGTTCAAATTCGATTATCTAAAATTACCTATTTAAATTTTTTGATTTCCAAAAGAATTCGTTCGCCAGAAAAATATTTTCAAAACAATTTAATGTTAAATGCTGCTTTTTAGACAACATATGATTAAATTTAATTGTAATAATAAATTCAAGTAATTGACAATTAAAAATGCATTAAAAAACAATCAAAATTTAATTTTTAAAACACCCCGGTTTGTATACCGATAAAAACTGTATTTATAAATAACTGCAACGATTTCCAACCTGTGGTGTAAGAAAAGGAGAGAAGGTTAGACTCCCCTTTGCAAGGGACGAAAGAATCCATGGTGGTCTTCCAACCACATAAGGCAAACCGCCCTACTTCGGGCGGCCAAGTTTTTTTTTGATTCCCAATTTTTCGATTACTTATAAACAGGGTGTTGAATTTTTTCCATTAATGCCTATTTCTGTACTACAAGCCTATTTATTGCCTTGTTTGGAGTTATGCCTCCTTTTACTACCTAACCGGCCTTTAGACTTCCTTACATTTGGTCTATTCTTATTATATCATTTCAATAGCACTTCTTAATAAAATAAAATATCTCAACAGACACTATTTAGTTTTAATCAGGCTATTCAATAAATCAATCATAAAAAATCTTCCAGTTTCAACAACGCTCCTCGACGAACTTGAAAAGGTACGTTTTAAGATCAACCCTAAGAACTGTGATCACTGGCAAACCCAGGCAATTTTGCAGCACCAACAAATACACCAGACAATGCAATAATAATAATAATGTCAATTGTGCAGAGCCCTATGGATAGCTTTTTTATAAATAAATTTTTCTGTAGATTCCAAAAGATTTTAAAAAAGATTAAGATGAAAGCATCAAAGGTTGATGAATCTAGATCCAGAAAAAGAAAAACCGAAACGAGCAAAGTAGCAATACATATTTTGAGTAATAATGAGTTCAGCGATGTGTGCATACCACTGATTCAGTGGGATAGTTCAGTGGTGCGATCAAACAATCCTTAAAAAGTGGAAAATAATCATTCAAAAAATGAACATAGAGAAGATAAACATTTAACCATTACACAATTTTCAAGACGATGAGTATGTCAGTTAGTATGCTACCAAATATTCAAAAAATCTTTACATTGTGTGTTGAAGACAAAATTAACCCGCCATGAAATATCAAATTTTCTTAATCATTTAAATTTTTTTAAATTTACAAATGAGAAAAAAGCCTATTTTAAAATAGTATTTTAAATTTTAAAGTGAGTTCAAAGAGAATTTTATAGCATAAATTAAACTGCAGCTTTTGAACTTGTAAAAAACCAAGATGTCAATATTTTTTTACCACTTCATGATTATCTATGAATAAAATGAATGTGACACTAATGCCATAGTTTCTTCAGAGCCTAGCTTGTAACAGCAAGAATACAATCAATTGTGGGTCAAAACTTTTCTGAATAAAAGATATTATCTTCAACATTTTTAGTAAGTAAAAGTTAAGTTTATCAACTGGGCCCTTTTAAAAAAATTTAAAAAATCAAACAGATGCTTTTTTTTTAAATTCAAAGATCCCATAATTATATCAGTTATTTATTATTTATCCCATAATTATATCAGTTATTTATTAAAAAGGTATATCAAAGAGATTGTTACAATAAATAATTTATTTAATAGACAGGTAAACCAAACAATTCTGGCTTGAAATCATTTAACGAATTTAACTGAAAGATTGAACCCTGCTTAATATCTATTTTATCAGCCGGTGTTATAGCAAGATCAGGAATCCAAACAACGTTCATATTAGCTGCAACTCCTGCTTGAACTCCATTAATGGCATCTTCAAAAATCAACACATTTTCTGGATTTTTAGGAGGTTTAACAAACATTTTTGCAGCTTTTATATAAATGTCTGGTGCTGGCTTCCCATACAATAAATCAGGGTCTGATCCTAACACAACATGGCTAAAGTACTTATTGAAAAAGTTTTTATGTTTAGAGGTTTTAGTGTCAAAGGATTCTTGACAAGATCCTGTTGCGATGGCCATTGGGATGTTGTTTTTGTGCAGGTGTTCAACAATTCTCTCGACACCAGGAATAAGCTTGACATTTGGAAAGTACTCTTTTTGCAAGCATGCCATTTTTTGAATATACTCATCTGTTGTTATTGGAATTTCTAATTCTTTGATGAAAATCTGCGCAGCTTCCACATTGCTCCGACCCATCTGTTTCAATTTGATGTTAATTGTAAAAGTTTTTCTGAATTCAGAAGCAAATGATTGCAGCATTTCCGTGTACAAGTGTTCGGTGTCCAAAAGAACACCGTCAACGTCAAAAATTACGTGAGTTATGTTCAAGCCGGACATTTCTACCGGGAAAGAGCGATAATGCAAAAAAACAACGTCTACATTATTTTGGCTCGTAGCATAAATTAAAACAAATTGAAATAAATAAATTGAATTAAATAAATTAAAAATTGTAATTTATGATAAAAATTTATTGCCAAATACTATTACGATAAATTGAAAAATAAAAAGCAGTAATTCGGACATTGAACACCTCACCCAACAGATTTGATTGTTGGGCTGATGCGTGGAGTCGGTGGCTGTAGGTTACAGTTGAATGAATTTCTTCAATAAATTATTCATTAATCGGTAGTAAATGCATAAGTTTGAATGCCTTGCTGGCTTGAGCAATGCTATTTTTTAATTTTCAATAAGAAGAGCGATATGAACACTTTTATTAAATAAGAATAAGTTTATTGATATATCGAGGTACCTTTATTTATGTTGACAACATAACGTTTTTCTAACGTTTTGGTATTTTTAGAATTTATACTGAAGTTTGTTGCTTGCTAAATAAATTCATTCTTGCGACTTGCGGTCTCAAAATGTTGGAGTAAATTTCAGAGAATGCACAAACTGTGTCAACTTCTATAATTGTTTAAAACCATTACAAAATTTAAAAATGAAGTTTGATGAACTGATTCAAAAAACTATTACGGACTTGTGTTATGCAAATTTGTCCAAGACAAGTCATGTTACAATAGATGGAATTATTTGTGTTTCTCAGCAAAACAACGTTAAGCCGTTCGTCATTAAATTTCAGAAGAATTTGCAATCAGAGGATAAAAACGATCCGAAAGACTTTTATTCAGACCGAACTGGCATAATTTTAAAATGTCATCGATCAGCTGAACCTGAACAAATTTGTTTGAATACTCTCTCAGATCTATCACTACGATGCTATGAGAATTCAAATTCATCAATTGCACGTATGGATAAAAATACAATTGACGGTTCCACTGATGAAGATTTTTGTAAAAATTTGAAACATACTTGCGTTGAAAATGCTGATAATGGTAGCATGGTTCTTAATGATAATTTGGAAAAACGCAGTGATCAAACATATAGTTTATACTCGTGCAAAATTTGCTTCAAATCATTTATGTCTAAATCTAACTTGGATAGACATTTGCGATTGCATACTGGCTTTAAACCTTACCATTGTTCAAAATGCAATAAATCGTTCACTCGCAAAGATCACTTGACATCTCATCAATCAAACCATTTTTCTAATTTTGAAAGTAACATATTTTTAGGCAAAAGTTTAGATGACTTTAGTTGTATAACTGAGTTTTGTGAAAATAATTCGCATGAAAAAATGAAAAATTTCAGGATTAACAATGATAGAAAGAAATCAGAATTTTTTGAAAAAGAAGTGGCTTACAGCCAACAAGCATTTGAACTAAAGAAAAATAATGCCGTCAAAATTGATCAGTTTTGCGAGCCATTAAAGAAAAAGTTGTTCAACAATGGCATCACTCCATGTAATATAAAGGTAAAATCATCAAAAATCATTCATAAATCTGGTAGTTCAAAGGAAAGTTTTTTAAATGATATTAAAGAACGCAACCAACCATCATCAACAGAACTCTTGATACCTATCTACCAACATATTATATCTGGTTTTAAAAATTTTAAAGGCAAAATGCTGGAAGAGGGTAAAAACAAAACCTATACACATGCACGCCAATCACTCAACCTCGCCATCCAAAATTATGTTGATTCAAAAATATCGAAACATAAGAAGCCTATTGTAAAATATTATGGCAAGAGCTATGACGGTTTAATCGACAGTGCTAATATTGTTTTTAATAACTCTAAAATAAAAAAAACTTTGACGGATTCAATAACGCAGAAAAATAAGATTGATATGTCAAAAACTTTACCACAAACTCATTTCAAATTCAACGTTCACACAGAAACCAAGATATGTAGTGTTTGTTTCCAAAACTTTTTAAATTTTCAAGAACTGGAAAACCACTGCATATCGTTCCATAAACGCAATGCCTGTATGCATTGCAACAAAACATTTGCTCAGAGAGCAAACAGGGACCGACACCTCTGTCTCCACACAGGCGCCAAACATCACAGGTGTCACGAATGTGGCGAAAGATTTGCTCGCAGTGATAAATTGAAAATACACAAACGAAAGTTTCACCAAGTGGGTTTTTGAATTTTTCAACGCTGCAAAATATTATTTATGATAAAGGAATCAATAGTAATAAATTTCTTCAAAATGATAATGATTCAAATTAAAATGAAATGCGAATGTTGAGTTGTTGTTATTAAGAACAAATGAATTTGATTGTATTTCACTGTATCGCTGATTTACATATAGCCCTTCTTGTGAGCCATCCTATGAAGTGCTGTCTAGACTCCAGGTTGTTGAATAAGTTGTGTTTAAGACGCTTCTTAATTTCATCACAACTAATCTTGATGTTACTCATCAGTTCGACGGGTAGGTCGTTCCACATTTTGGCTGAGGATACAGAAAACCTTCTTTTTTCAAAATGAGTTATTTGAATAGCGGTAGTACGCAGTGACGGATCAAGTCAAACGGAGGCCCTAAGCGGAAAAAAAATTTGCGGCCCCCAAACCTAGCTTGTAGAAGCTTTGAAATTTTGAATTATTTCAAACTTTCAACAATTTAGGTGATCAATAATACGTAGTTTATAAATCCTTAAACTTAAAACCACTTTAACGCCAGATATTTTTCATTTTTAATATACTTTGTCGATAGAATTGTCACAAACATATTAGGTGCAACTAATTTAAAAATAGTTAGAACTAAATTATTCAAATTAAATGTTATATATATATATATATATATATATATATATATATATATATATATATATATATATATATATATTACTAAGAGAAAACTTAATATAGCGTTCGTTATAGCAGTTTTCACAAACGCTATCAAATTATAATGATATCTAATATATTAATAACAAAATAGCAAGAATGAAAAGATATGAACTATTTTAATAATTTGAATGTCGTCTGCATATGCATGGCTTTTAAAATCATAGGAATCAATTATCTTCAGCACATCAGATGTATAAAGCAGAAACAATAAAGGACCCAAAACAGATCCCTGCGGCACACTAGAGCGAACCACAATGACAGTTTTCTTGAGTAAAGAATCAGAAGTTTGATCATGACCAGAACTGGTCACGATCAAATAGCACTGTCAAACAAAATAAAGGATAAGGATTCATACATCTATTATAATTCTGAACGTGATGTATTAAATGAAAAATTTATATTACATAAAGATGAAAAATGATTATTGAAAAGATTACATACACACTGATGAATCATCAATAATAATAATATCATCAAACTTTTAGAGCAATTTAAATTTGATCGGACTACTTCAATCCCAGACATGATTTCAACAAATTAAATGTTTGCAGTTTTTAATGCTTAATAAATTACAACAGCAACCATATCAACAACAACATCAACAACAACAATATGAACAATAGTAATGATGATAGTGATGATAACATAAATAGTATTAATAACGACAATAGCGTTAATAATAGTAATGACAATCAATACAACAATAATAATGACTAGAATTATTAACATTCAATTAAAAAAAAACAAAAATTGAATAATTGCGCACCAGAGTATTTGAAGAACAAATGTCAGTCGTAAGCATCATCTTCCCCAGTCTGCGTTCGGACACGATTTAAACTATCTGTCGGTGCTGTTGGCTCAAACGAAACTTGGAGCTAGAAGCTTTGCCGTGTTTGGTCCTAGAGTCTGGAACGGTCTTCCCAAAGACCTGCGAGACCCTGCTCTGGGTGTTGAGAAATTTAAGAAGATGTTGAAAACATGTTTATTTTCGCTGTAGTGTCAATCATTGATGTTTATTTTTTACTGATCTAATGTTTATTTAATGTTTGATTTATTTGTTTGATGAACGTTTGTCTTCGACTATTTTGTATATTATTTTATTTGTAAGCGCTTTTGAAAAACTATTTAATTAGCGCCATATAAATATTCGTGTATATATATATATATATATATATATATATCTGAATTTATGAAACTATAGCACTGACGATGATAATCAATTAATGGCTATATGCTAAAAAATTTCCCAGCACTCGTTTAATGTGTTAATAAGAGAAAGAAAACATTATAACAAAGTATCGGGAATGGGTCGAGCAGAAGATAAATTGTATATACTTTGCATTTTGGGTGGAAGACACTACTTTTCTTATTAAGAGTTCAATTCGTATTTAAAATAATGTTAATGTTCTGTAAATCATTTTTGCTTTTGTAAATTAACTTGATTAGGTAAATTTTTTATTTTTGAAATGATATATTCCAGCATAACCACGATCAAGAAAAAAATCAAGCTGAAGCTCTAAACAATTCGCCATCTTGCATCAACGAAACAAACGAACGGGACAACAATTTTTCAGATTATTCTTCGAATATTCCATTCTTGACCGTGTACGAACACGACTCATCAAATTCTGTACTTTCCAACAACTAACGAAGATAATGCTTGCGAAAACATCTCATAACATTTATTTTGTCAACATAATTAAACGCAAAAATTAATTTCAACAAATGTGCTTTACTGCTGATCTGTGATAATTTAACGATTTTTTATATTTTAACTTAATTTAAATGTTTATTTATTGAAAGATTGTTAATATATTATAAACCTTCTTCACTTGTAAATATTTATCCCTACGAGTCATAAATATTTATCCCTACGAGCTGTATATCAGTATTAGTATTTATTTATACCTTTTAAGTTGTTATCCCAAAAGGGCACTTAAAAATGAATATATATATATATATATATATATATATATATATATATATATATATATATATATACATATATCATATATATATATATATACATATATATTGTCGGAGATTTTAATGATGAGAATTTCCAAATGATGACAAAGCCCCACGTTGGGCGCTAATTGTCGGAAATTTATAACTGAAAACAATTAAAACAACTGGTGGTGTGAGGTAGGTAATCTCCTCCTCTATCTTTCTCAGGGAATTTTTTTTTATGGTCCGACAATAATTTTTGTGTATATTTTTATCGTGAGTTCGACCAGTCCTGTGTGGCACTGGGCTTTTTCGAATTATATGATTTTACTGAGTAACACACGAACGCGTAAAGAAAAATATTCGATAACAATTTTATTAATTGACGGAAGTAAATGAAAAAGAATTGAACTAATGAACTCAATAATAATGTAAAATGTCAATGAACAAACTGGAATACAGGAATTAGAACTTCTTCTCGTTGGGTCTTCGACTTGGGATATGTTTCTTGCCGTTTAATCGTACAACCTCGACGTGTGTATCCGATGGTGATGTCGATACAACTCATTTTAGCATCATCAGCATACAAATACATTTGAACAGAACTATCTTTCACAATATCAAACATGTCATTCACATACTCAATAAACAAAGCCGGACCTAACACACTTCCTTGAGGCACTCCACTACTAACTTCAAACCTTTTAGACAAACAATTATTCACTCTCACACTAGAAGTTCTACCAAAGAAACACTCCTTAATCCATTCAACCAAACAATCATTCACACCATAACCACCAACTTATTAATCAATAACACATGTGACACTCTATCAAAAGCTTTAGTAAAGTCTGTGTAAACAACGTCAACATCCAAACAATTATCAACTGCACCAGTCCAACAATCCATCAATTTCAACAACTGGAGAGTTGTTGATTTCCCCTTTACAAAACCCTATTGCCTATAATCTAGTAAATTGTTTTTATAAATGCAACTCAATAGATGATCTTTAATAATGGACTCAAAAGTTTGCAACAACCACAGCTTAGAGCAACTGGTCTATAATTCTCAACCAAACGTCTATCCCTTTTTTAAAAATAGGAACAATAATGCTGTGTTTCCAATATTCCGGAATTTTTCCACTACCTAAAGACAAATTAAATAATTTGCACAAATAATCAGAAACTGAATGTTTACATTCTTTCAAAACAGTTGGGAATAAGTTATCGGGTCCTGCTGATTTATATTTATTCAACCCATCAACTTTTCTTTCAACTTCACCTTTCAACAATCAAGTTATCCATCATAGCATGATTATTGTATTCTGTTAAATTTATTTTTTGTTGATTATGCAAACTGCTATCCTGAACATAAACATTTTTGAAAAAGTAAGCAAAATTCTTAGCTTTACAATGGTCATCCATTATAATGGTCTTCTTATCATCAATTAAATCATCCAAAGTAATTTTATTTTTTCTTGATTTGTTAATCTGTTGCCAGAAAACCTTTGGATTTGATTTAACCAACTTAGCTAAACGTAGTGTATCTTGCTCTCTTAATTTTACAACAGTTCTTTTAATTTGATTTCTCAAATGCTTGTACTCAGTTAAAATTTGCTTATTCCTATGTTTTATAAAATTCTTCTATAATTTGTTCCTATTTCTGATCAGATTTAAAACATCCCTTGGTAACTTAATTTGATTACTATTCTTAAAAAATCTCAAGTTAACAATTGGAATAAACCTATTTGTTGCCTCATTAATCACATTCAAAAAATAACACCATAATTCACTAACATCATTATCATTCTTAACAACAACAGTCATACATTTTTTAACATCCAATTCAGACAGCAAGTAATCATTTATCAATTTGTAATTACCTCTAATAAAATCAAGCCTGTTTTTTAAGCCACACCTGAAATCATACAAATTTACACCCATTACCAAATTCAAACCACAATGATCACCCTTACCAAATGGAGAACTATATGATAAACTTTTCATTAAATTTCTATCCTCTACAAACAACAAATCTAACAAAGAGCTTTTGTGCAACCCACGACACCTTGTAGGCATGTCCACCATCTGAAAACGAAAATAATCCATAATTAAATTAAAAATCTTGTCTAAAATGGACTTGCTTGAACCAATAATTAAACAATACTTACAATCAATGGTTGGAAAGTTGAAGTCTCCCACTCACTGCCCAACAGTGTTTTTGTATCTGAACCAAAATTAGTTGTTTCTTATGTATTTCCACCTGCTGAATCCGAAAATGACATTAAAAATTACATATTAGCTCTAGTTCAAGAGATAAAAGCAAAACTCTATCCTCAAGAGTATAAATTGTTTTTTTTGGAAATTTTTGTTATTTTTTTTTTATTTTGCCTCTTGGCTATCTATAATGTCTTATTTATGAAGGCACAAATAAAATAGAAGAAAGAAAAGAAAGCCAGCCTTCCACATCAAATGATTCTGATTTAGTGTCAACAGTTGATGCACCACACAGATTGAGTCAAGCAGAATTAAGTGACCTCGTTCGAGATCTTGACTTGTCACAGGAAAAAGCAGAACTTCTAGGGTCTATATTAAAATAGTGGAATCTTTTCCAACCTGATGTCAAAGTTTCCTACTTCAGGAAACGGCTACAAAATCTTTTTCGTTTTTTTTAGAAGAAAAATAACCTTGTCGTTTGCGTTGATATCTGTGGCTTAATGTATTGTCTCAATTCGAACTATGATCCAACTGAATGGAGATTATTCATAGATTCATCAAAGCTAAGCTTGAAAGCTGTATTACTGCACAATGGAAATCATTTTCTATGAGTTCCTATTGGCCATGCAGCTCACATGAAAGAAACTTACCTAAATATGAAAACTCTTCTTAACTGAATCAATTACAACGAACACAAATGGAAAATTTGTGGTGACCTGAAAACTTTTAGGAATGCAATTAGGCTATACCAAATACTGCTGTTTCTTGTGTATGTGGGACATAAGAGACAAAATTTCACATTACACAAAAAAGGACTGGCCTGCAAGAAATCTCAACAAAAATGAAAAAAATGTTGTTGCTGAACCACTCGTAGATCTAAAAGATGGACTTCTTCCATCCTTACACATTAAGCTGGGTTTAATGAAAAATTTTGTATAAGGTATGAACAAAGAAGGATAGGCTTTTAAGTATTTAAAAAACAAATTTCCAAAACTAAGTGATGCAAAAGTTAAAGAGGGTATTTTTGTTGGACCTAAGATACGTGAACTAGTGAAATTCCTGCATTTGATAAATTTTCGTTTGCATTTTCGTTTTTCTCACCCTAAAATTTGTATAATTTGACTAAAAAAGTTAAGTATACAAAAAAAAATATTTTTTTTGTAGCCCAATGTTATTTTTACACCACCAATTGCGGTGAAAGCCTGCAAAAGATTAAATTGAATTAGGACTTCTATAAATGACAAGAATGTGAAAATAGTTAAAAAAATTATAATATATATATTGATGACTGCTCCATCTCTCTTGAGAATTAGAAAATAAAAGGAATGTAGTTCAAGACTTGTCCAATCAACTAACTGAATTGTTGAAACAATGGGATCACTGTGATGTTGATTGCAATGTCAAGAATGAACTAAACCTATGCCGGAAAGAATTTATAAATGCATATATGCAGCATGAATTCGGAAAATAAGTTTATTTTGAATTTTAATAAACTAAACGTTCACCAAAAAACTTTAGTGAGAAAAATCGAAAAAACGAACCACAAACATATTAACGCCAAACATTCGGTAGAATTTATAGAATATATACATATACGAATAATGTTGAATGTTGCGGCTGTGTCTAAATTTTCTCCGTGTATTATATTATATAAATATTGTGTATTTTTTACTGATAACAGTTGAATTTGGATTATTATAATAGAGTAAATTGAGGAGAGTATTTTCGTTTTTTTATTTTTTCGAAATAATATAATTTAGTATTTTTAATTGAATTTAATAATAATATTTAGTTTAATAGTTGAATTAGATATTTTTTTTTTTTTTGTTAATTTTCTGTTAACACTCCCTCAGTAATTTAATCTGTTGAATTTGTTGTTTGAGCTTTGTTTGCAGACATTTATCGTACAACATTAACATTCGCATTTCACTAACCTACTACAGTACAACTTATATTGTTATTATTATATCACAGAACGTTGTTTATTTTTGGTTTTTCTGCAGTAATGACGAACGAAAATTGTTGTAAATGTGATAGTGTTGTTGAAGATGGAATTTGCTGCCCATCCTGCCAAAGTTTCGTACATCCGAAATGTGCTGGTTTCACCAAGGACTCGCTGTCATTATATAAAAAAATGAAAAACTTAAGGTGGTATTGTGACAACTGCCTGAGCTATGTCGATGATGTTAAAGGGATTTCCAAGTTGATAAATGATAAACATGTGGCATTAGATATGGAATTGAAGAAGATTTCTGAATCTGGGGACATTTTAAGGAATGACATAGAGCAGTTGAGGATCGCAGTCGATAATAGTAAAGGAAAATTGGATCAGGTTGCTAGTGTTGATTCATTGAAAAGTGAAATTAATGCTAAGTGGTCTGAGGTTGTTAAAAAAAAATTGTGATGCTGTATGTAGTGAAGTTAGATCGATACAAAAAACACTTAATGTTGTAAATGAAAATAAAGAACGTGAAAACAATATCATCATTTTTAATCTTGCTGAAAGTGAAAATAGTGTGAAAGATAAAGAAATTGTGATGAAAATCTTTCAATCGCTGACTGAGGAGTCAATTAAAAGCAGCGACGTTGTTAAAATTTTTAGACAGGGCAAAAAAGAGGAGCAAATTACCTCTCCACGCCCGATAATTGTTAAATTTAACAACACGTCATCAAAGGTACTTGTGATGAATAAACTGTTTAAAATTAAATTGCTTGACGATAAATTGAAAAGTATTAGAATAAGTCATGATATGACCCGTGAACAACGAACTGATTATCGTAAACTGGTTGATGAGGCTAAAAGTAAAGAGGCTGATGATGGGGAAGATTTTTTATACCGCGTCAGGGGTCCGGTGGGTCGCTGGAAGATTGTGAGGTTTCTCAAAAAAGGAAAATAAAAACTCTGTGTTTTGGTTTGCTTAACATAAGATCAATGTCAAAGTTTAATTTTGTCTATGAACTATTGGATGATAGTTTGGACATTTTTGTATTAAATGAAACTTGGCATGGTTCGTCTAATAATGTTTGTCTTAAACTTGCTATGCCACCTGGTTTTACATACGTTGATTTTTTGCGACCTTCAGATCCCCTGCATGGTGGAGTTATTGTATATTTCAGAGATTATTTTAGGTTTAAAAGAATTGATCTGCCACAATTGAAGACATTTGAAGCAGTAGCTATTAAGTTTTTCATCAATCGTACTGTAATTATTTTGTTGGCATTATACAGACCAGGATCATCTGCTGTATCAGCATTGTTTTTTCATGAATTGATCTGTGTTCTGGATGAAATATCAATCCTTGCGGATTATTTGCTGCTTTCTGGTGATTTTAATATTCACATGGAAAATTTGAATAGTTCTACAACTGTTAGATTATTGGAAGTATTTAACTCATATCAGGTTACAAATAGAATAAATCAGCCAACTCATAATTTGGGTGGTACGTTAGACTTGGTAGTGTCTTCCGACGATTTTCCTGCTATTGAATGTATTGTTAATCCATGTGATATATACTCAGATCACAGTTTCATCAAATCGGTTTTTCCAGTGATATTGAAGCAGCCTGTTTTTCGCCTAAAACGGGTTCGTTCTTGGGGTCGGATGGATGAAAAATTATTTTCATCATTAGTTTTGGGTTCTCATATCAGTGGTCCATTTGATTACAATGATGCGGGCTTGATGCTGGTGATGTTTACTGAGGAAATGAAATCTATCATAGATAAGGTAGCTCCACTGCATTTGGTGAAATCGAGACATGTCCCATCAGCGCCATGGTTTGATGATGAATGTAGAAAATTAAAAAGACTTTGCCGTAAATTGGAGAGACAGTATAAAGTTAATAAAACATTATCTAATAGAGATGCTTGGAAAACTGCTCTTATTAATAAAAGTGTTCTATTTAATGTTAATAAAAATAACTACTGGAAAAAGTTGGTGGAAAATAATAAAGGTCAACCAAAAAAATTATGGACTATTGTAAACAAATTACTTTGTAGAGCAACCTCACTAGATTCATCAAAGTCATCATCCTGTCAGCATTGTTCTACTGATTTTGCAGAATATTTCAAAAATAAGATTGGAAAAGTTATAAAAGATACGGATGCATTTTATATGCCATTGCAGTCTTTTCACAAACTTTATGATGGACAATTGTTCAACAATTTCTCGCTTTGTTCAAGTGATGATATCAAAAAGATCGTTTTGGAATCACCAACAAAATCATGTCTGTTGGATTGTTTACCTACCAGATTGATGAAGGCACACTTAGATTTGTTCTTGCCATTTCTAACCTTTTTTATTAATTTAAGCTTGAAAACTGGTGTTTTTCCGTCTGCATGTAAGCATGCTTTGGTTACACCAATATTGAAAAAACAGTCTCTCGATAAAGATGAAATAAATAATTATCGTCCGGTGTCAAACTTAACGTTTATTTCAAAGTTAATTGAACGAGTAGTTGCAATGCAGTTTGTTCGACATTTGAATGAGCATAATTTACTACCATCATTGCAATCTAGTTATCGGAGATTTCATTCAACAGAGACAGCACTTATTGATGTCACATCTTCATTGTTTGAATCGATGGAATCACATCACTTCACATTAACAATGAATTGTCTACAACTGAAACTATAAGATTTGGTGTGCCACAAGGATCTGTCCTTGGCCCCATTTTGTTTCTAGTTTACACAGCTGATGTTTTCAACATAATCAAGAATCATAATTTTAAGTGCCATGGTTATGCGGATGACATTCAGATTATTGCTACTAGTCATGTTACATCGTTTCCAGTCATGATTGATAAATTAGCACTATGCCTTGGTGAAGTTGATCATTGGATGAAAACGCATCGCCTTAAATTAAATACCTGTAAAACTCAGCTTATGAAGGTTGGAACGTGGCAGCAATTGTCAAAATTACAAATTGGATCAATTAATATTTGTGGTGATTCAATCGATTTTTGTGCATCTGTGCGCAATCTGGGAGTAGTTTTTGATAGTAGTCTATTGATGAAGGACCATGTTAAATCACTTACAAGTGAATGCTATCATCATATGCGTGGATTTAGAATTGTCCGGAAGTCGTTAAGTAGACACATATTACAAAGTCTGGTGCATGCATTCGTACATTCAAGGATGGATTACTGTAATGTTTTGCTCTACGGCACTGCAAATAATGTGATTAGTCAGCTTCAGTCAATACAAAATCGAGCAGCAAAGATTGTAACAGGTGCATCAAAGTTTGAACATGTGACCCCAATTTTGAGTGAATTGCATTGGTTAACTGTTGAAAAAAAAATTTTCAGAATTGCTGTGATGGTTTATAAATGCAGAAATGGCCTGGCTCCCAAATACCTTCAAGATAAAGTTGTTCAGAGGGATATTCCTATGCATCGACTTGGACTGCGTTCAGATTGTTCAGATTTGTTAAAAGTTCCTTTTGCTAAATTGAAGATTGGATCACGTAATTTTTCTATTGTAGGACCGACGATCTGGAATAGTCTGCCACAGTACTTACGTGATCCGGGTGTCTCCCTTGGAAAGTTTCGAAAAGAATTGAAAGCTTATTTATTTTCTCTGAGCAAATGATACTTTTAGTTAATGGCGTTTTTGAGAAGATTGAAAAAGCGCCTATTAAACATTCATAATAATAATAATAATAATATATATATTAAAATAAGACTGTCAGAAATGCAATTATTGATGAAAATCACAGCATGTTCGGCGTTAGTTAACTTCCAATTTATAATTTATATATACTGTGTCTCTACTCTACTTTGTTACATATATATATATATATATATATATATATATATATATATATATATATGTGTGTGTGTATATGTGTGTGTGCATGAATTAAAACTGTCAGAAATGCAATTATTGATGAAAATCACTGCATACTCTTCATTAATTAGCTTCCTGTTTAATTTTTCTAACCGTTGATCGTAAATCTTTCTCAGGTTTCGACTTGAAGATTTTCAAAACTTTTCTCATGCCACTGCTTCAATCATCGATTAGAAGGCATGGTAGTCTGGTGGTTAAAATCGCCTGGTGCTGTTTTGCTGTAACCGGGTTCGAATAAGACAAAAAAAATCTTACCTATCACATGCTTCGTGTGGCGCGTCGTTTAGCACGTAGTCATATACGATGTTTGTGAGTGTTGTTGAATCTTCTGAACCTTGGAAGTGAAAAATTGATTGACATTTAACTTTTTTTAACCTTTATTTTTTTTCCTTACAAAAATTACTTAAGAGAAAGAGCAGCAACGACGTCGTGCACATGTATATTTATAACTGCTGCTCAAATGAAATGATAATGAGATCCGCAAAACTAAAAAAGAAAAACCTTAAGGAGCCCAACACTTTTTTTGCTACAATTTCAATCACTTGCTCCTTATATATATATATCGTAGAATATAATATGGAGCATCAGCAACTGAATGACCTGTTTAATAATATATGCATTTAGTAGCCTATCATTTGATTTTCAATAGAATAAACATTAAATTTAAATTGAACAATTAAATTCCTTTTTTAAATGTTTGTTTTATCAATAATATCTATATTTTAAGTTTCAATTCATTCTAAAATTTTATATTGAAAATAAAAAATTTAATTTGTACCTTATTTATAGTCAAATAAAAAAAATAGTTGAAAGACGATTCTGTGTTAAATGATAAAGAGAAAAAAAAGATCAAAAAACCAAATCAGAAAATTTTGAAACTGAAAAATTTTTAGTTTTCACTGGTCACACAGACATGCAAGGAAGTACAATCGAAGAATATGGCAAGACAGAGACAAGATCGCTTATTGATGAACGTTTATTCGTTATTCGTACTTTAAGTGTACAGCACATATAAATTGAAAATATTTGTCAAATAATAAAATTAGTTGAAAGACGATTCTGTGTTAAATGATGACACTAACTAGATTAAAAAAATTGATCAAATAATTTTGAAACTGCTTAAAGTAACCAATTCAGAATTACATTAATAACGAAACTGTAAAAGTAATATGAAGACAATAAAAAATTTTGAGAAAAAAATTGTAAATTATTATCTTTAAGCAACGGTGTTAGTGTCGATGATAATAAAAATAATATTCACGACATCATGGTAATAACAATAATTACGATTATTACGATACCCCTACTTGTAATAATAATTATTGTTACATTGCTAGGAAAAGTTGCTTGAAAATTAGTAAATCTTGAAAGTTCCAAAATAGATACTAAAAATATGTTTCAATTACAAATCAACATAACTACATTAATCTAACAAAATAATAAATATTATTTTAAGAAAATATTAATATGAAACATAAATAAGTAAAATTTTTGCAAATGTTTCAAGCAATTTTTATAAAAAAATGACCAATCAGACGCGGAGCTTCTTACATGCAGTTTTTAACAACAGTTATGACAACGTCAGCCAGCGCTCCCCATCTCAAACATTTATCGTTATGGTGTTCATATCATTATAAATAATTAATATAAATGATCCTTATTAAAATGTCTTGCTACCGTCATCTAACATTCAAATAAGAATTATGTTGTAATAAATATGGCTACCCAGAAAAATTTGAAATTCTTCCATAAAAAATATCCAAAAATATAAACGAAAAAGGAAATGTCAAACGTATCTTCTCGGTATATATCTTGGGTGCAGTTTGTCTTGTCGAGAATCTTGCGGTGCACAATATTCATTGTAAACTAATTTGAAGAGGAACAAGTGGAATATGAGGATGAGCGTGATGAGGGTCACCCAGAAAAAAAGAGGTAGGCCTCCCCAATGATGACCATGTTTGTGCATCACCATCAGATGCTGCTCGTGGGCCGGAGCTTAAATAATGCAAATTAACAACTGAAAAAATATATAATAGCAGTATAAAACATTTATTAATTGTAACGTATTGTCGTGCGGAAACTTCAAATGAGCATTATAAACAGGTTATTGTGTTTATTGAAGAAATAAAAGGCTAGCCAGGCAAGAAATAATTACATAGACACAAATGACAAAACACGCGACAATACCCGATGCACATTATACAAATGACAGAACAAAACATACATCCACATCATAAATCCATAATGTGAGTTAAAGTGAAGAAAGCAATAGACCTTCATGAACGGAGTGAACGTGTATGACATCTTTGAGTTCCTTCATGTGCTGGAGGTCAGATGTTATGTAGAGGATGGATGTCACAGGTTCTGTTAACTTGACTGGCAAACTTACCTCTACGTTACTTGGTTATTTCGAATTAAAACTTTAAAAATTTTCAAAATTAAAACTTTCATATTTCAAAATTTGAATTTAAATACTTAAAGTCATCATGACCATATCACAGAATAATAGCGATTCGCCTCTCTCACTCAAAGTCCGATTTTATTATTTTTAAAACTTTTTAATTCGTGTTCATATCTGGTATTCATTCTTGTTTCTTATTATCTAATTTTTCAGTTTCTTCCAAATGTTTCGTACCACATAATTTTGTGAGCCTTATATTTGACACACATTATATTATACACAAAAATTTAACTGCATTTAAAATTATTCTTATAGTTTTAGTATGATAACCTTCATGCCACACACACACTCACTACACACACCTAAACAAATTGCACCCGCTGTGCCCTCAGAACGGCAGTGCCCTTATCGTGGACAGAGTCCAGACCTGAATTCACAAAGACGTGGACAAAACCTACAAAATCATATTCTTGCAACACCGCTGTTTTAACCATTTCTTTAACCAACAAAGGCCATGCTACGAAATCGCTCAAATTCATCAACCGCTGATCTGCACTGAGCACACTGCAAGGCATCATGGCAAGTTCATCGCTGTTTTAACCATTTCTTTAACCAACAAAGGCCATGCTACGAAATCGCTCAAATTCATCAACCGCTGATCTGCACTGAGCACACTGCAAGGCATCATGGCAAGGCACCTATGCTACACCTTTTCAGATTGTCTTTATATTGACCAATTAGACCACTAGCAAGATGGATTCGTGTAAACAGCTGTCCAAAAAAATAATCATGAGAACGACATGACCCGCCCAACCAAACTAAGTCCGAAGGATGAAGGCTTCAATACCGGTGATATCACATCCCATCTTCCCATTTGGTGCGTAAAATTCTGCGAAGGAATTTCATGTGAAATTGGTCGATCTTTCGGTATGAAACGTTGAAAGGTAGTCCAAGTTTCACATTTATGTAACAACCGGTACTTAAGATGACATCGTGCTCGTTCCACAGTCGTCTGTCTAGTTTGCCAAACAAATGTATTTCCTGCTTTTGCAAGCTTGGCTGTGATTAACAGGGTAGCAGCACCTGCCTACAGCTTTTATGTGATGTCATCGGCCATCAAATCGACTGTTGTTTCAGATGAACAGGGTGAGCCTGATGCAATTTTTAAACTTTTTTAACTTTAAAATTTTCTTGGATCATTTTTTTCAAATTTTTTACTGTTTTATTTAATATTTTTAGCATTTATAGTATTTTATTAAATAATTTTAGTATTTAATAATATTTTTTTAACATTTCAAAGTGAAATTTTAGAATTAAAAAATTACACAAAAAAAATTTACATATTTTTCATTTATTAAATAATAATAAAATAGATAATGTTGAATATTATGTAAGCTTATATTATGTCTGTGGCAATTAGATACACCTTCTGAATCTATCTGCGTTCTTTAACAGTGAATCTAGTTTTTATATATGTCGCCATTTGCATTATTAAAGTATTTCGTATTTCGTTAATAAATAAACATTATTAAACTTAATTGTTTGTTATTGTGTTTATTATATCTCGCTCCAGTTATCAGAATATACCATGGCAACCTCAATGTTATCAACAGGTTATGGGCCCAAGTCACGACTGGTGTTCAATGGAGATGAAAGGAAATACGAATTATGGGAGGTAAATTTCATGGGTTTCATGCGGCTACAAAAACTACACGATGTTTTCATGAGTACAGATGATCCTAGATGATCCTGAAGAAGAACAAAATGCTGAACCTTTTGCTAAGTTAATTCAACGCCTCGACGACAGAAGTTTGTCGTTAGTTATCAGAGACGCCATACAGTCACAACACAGAAAGATAGAGAACAATCATTTGCAAACAATCATTTTGTTTCCTGCACTTCGTAGCTTTGAGGAAACAGAAAAATAGAACTGTCCTCATAGTAGTGAGGATACTGTAATGATGAACTACACAAAACCCATATAGTGTTTCACATGTCACAAATATGGACACAAGTCATTTGAATGTAAAACTCGCAAAGAGCAAAAATCAAATGCAAAGGCTATTCAGAAGAAATGGTGTGAGATATGCAAAAATAAATCTTATAATACTCACCAATGTAGAATGAACAAAAATAGTGCAAAATCAGTTTTAGAAAACCGGCAAGAAAAAAAACAACCATATTCATTTTTCGAAGCCAAAGAAAGTCTAAGCATTGGAATTGGATGTAATATTCTACTTGTAGATTGCGGTTCAACAACCCATATTGTTACTGACAAATCAAAGTTTGTACACCTAGAAACAAATTTTAAATCTACCAGTCACTGTATTGAGCTAGCAGATGGCTCTAGATCAACTGGGATAGTGAAAAGTAAAGGCAGAGCGAGGGTAGCCATACACAGTTCAGACGGAAAAACTAGAGATGTCTTTCTGGAAAATACGTTGTATATTCCGTCATATCATCAAGATATGTTTTCTCTTCAAGCAGCAACAGAAAAAGGAGCTTCAGTTAATTTCAACCCCTATTCTGCACAAATCTCTATTTGGCCTAAAACAGAGTGGTAAAAACTGGAACAATTTGTTACATGACTACTTGATCTCTGAAAGTTATGAACAGTCATCAACTGATCATTGTGTTTACACTCAATTCAACAGAGATTCGAAGGTTATCACCCTTATTTGGGTTGATGATATTATCATTGCTGCTAGTAAAAAAATCCTTTTGGAATCTGTAAAACAATCTATGTTTTCAAAGTTCAAAATGAAAGATCTAGAAAAATTATCATGGTTCCTTGGAATACAGTTATCTGCACTCATCTGAGGGTAACATATCCACTCATCTGAGGGTAACATGATAGAAATGAATCAGTCAAAATATATTGAAAAAATAATGTCAAAATACAATATGAGTGGTTGCAAACCAAGATCCACACCATGTGATATGAACTCGGATAGACTGAGAAATGATAATTCTACTGACTTTGCTGATGAACAAGTGTACAGATCTATAGTCGGAAGTTTTATCTATGCTATAACTGCTACAAGACCTGATCTGTGTTTTGCCATTTCATACCTGTCGCAAACTATTTATTCCTATTATGAAAGCAAATAGTGCAGATGAAAAGAAAGAAGAAGATGCAAAGTTTTGATTTTGATGAGAGTGATTGTGATGAGGATGGTCATTTTTATTAATATTTTTTGTGTGTTATGTTGGGTTAGGGTTTGCATTATTAAAGTATTTCGTTAATAAATTTACAAACTTACATTATTAAACTTAATTGTTTGTTATTGTGTTTATTATATCTCGCACCAGTTATCAGAATATACCATGGCAACCTCAATGTTATCAACAGATAATAATAATTAATTCAATAATTATTTGGAATATCACTACATTCCGTCGTTTTCACATTTATTGTTAATTTCAATTTATTGACATTTCTTCTAAATTAAAATTATTCATTTGAAAAAAAATATAATTTTCAAATTTATCTATGTTTTTAAAATGAAGAAGTATAATTTTTTAAACGGTGTTCAGAAATAATGTAATATTTTATTACTCTACTTGAACTACAAAATGTACAGGAACGGAATAAATTGTAGAACAGTTAACGTGTACTAGGCTTTAGAGTTTTAGCTTTAGATTGAAGGGGTCTGATGTTGAATAATCCTCTGGTTATCACATATATTGCATGTGATAAGCAGAGGATCTTTTAGCTTGGAGCCAGTCAATGCGACAGCAAGTACCTTAGCTTTTGTTTAGTCTTTTATTAGCCTTAGCCTATCTCGCCACCACATCGTATAATTATTTAATGCCAAATATAATAATTTAAGGTCAAACATCAACGTGAATCAATGTTAAAGATCATATTACAAAGACAAATAACAAAAGTTGAAAAGATGATTTGAAACCTGAGATGAACGGGTGCATCCAAACATCCAGCGTCACATGCGTAATAAGATTCATTATTTCTATCAAGTGTCACGTACAACATTGCTTTGTTGTTCAGTCCAACGCGTATTGAAATGTTTAAATGAGTATTTTGTCCTGTGCAATAATGAAAATGATGACTTTAGCGCTTCAAATCCAAGTTTAATTAAACTGTTGGCTTGTTAAGATTCATAATAAATTTAATTCAATAGATATCTGTGATGTAAGTTTTCAATCATTATTAAAATGTTGCTGAAAGAAGAGCTCACGCAAAAATGTCCGATAAAAAGATTTGGAGCTATGAAACTTATTCATGAATCATGAATTGACGATGCTGAAAGAATAACGAAAAATGCAAAAAAATTGTAAATTTAAACAAATTTGTATTCTGCAATAAAATGTTAAAAGACATGCTAAAACATTATTGTAAAAATATTAAAATATTGTATACCATAATTTATTCTGCGAAAAAAGAAATCTCTGTGTAGGTCACTTGGATGACTGGTCAGTTCCAGATGATTGTCGCTGAATCGCAGAGCTCCAATGCTCAGCATCATGGCCTGCAAAACTCCTTCAGCTCCTGCACTCCAGTACAAATTATCGACATCAATGCTAATTTCATATAAATTTGATATATACAAGGTCTGTACATTTTACAGACTAAAATCTAGAAGAAGTTTTATGAATGAATGTTTATATTCACCGATATCTCTTGGATGAGATTATAGTTAAAAAAATCTTTAAAAAAATAGATAACGATGTAACTTATGAAACTTAAAAATGAAAACGAAACTGTATATTATGAGAACAGATATAAACTGACCAGCTTGAATCATCTTGCCACATCCTTGCTTCTTCAATGTCACCATCCACATCCTCACCAGCTTGATGACGTCATCCACGTAAAGCGGGTTCATCCACATCTTTGAAACCTGTCTATAGACATTGTTTGCAAACAATTCGATCAAACTTATCCATTAAAATATTCAACGCCAGACAGGCGGCAGTCAACAAAAAATTAACAGCGTTCAAGATGGAACGGAAACTTTTCTCAACTAATAATGCATAAAAAAGTTTTATTTTTTGTATCCTCTCATAAGTCATTAACAACGCAGTGCACATATTGCATGTGATAAACGGGGATATGTTAGCATTTGAACCTAGTCACTGCAACTGTATCGCCAGGTACTTTTACATCATTACATAAAGCGACTGTACAGCCAGGTACTTTTACATCATTACATAAAGTGATTTGAAGATGAGGGACATACAAAGTGTGGTGTCCGACGTAACATCGATCGGTTTCGTGCAAATAACGAAGAGATGACTTCACGTGTTCACTATCAGCTCCAACTTCTACTGATGGATATCTGCCAACAAATTATACAACGATTTTCAGTTTAATAATTTTGAATTACAAAATTACGGTAACCATGTCACCGGTTTGTCTTGCAGCACGTTTTTTAAACATTTCCATAAACATTTTCTATTACATATGCAAAGACCTTATATTAAGATAAATTAATTCACTAAAAGTGAAATGAATCCTGAGATAAATGAATTACGAATAAATAGATCAACTTGCTAACGTGATTAATAAAATAAAAAAAGAATCCTGTAATGAGCAAGAGCAGGAACAAACAAAAAGTTGATACCTAGCATTGCTCAGCACGTAATACATGGTCTTGTTGATCTGGTAGCCATTGATAACATCAGAAGCCAGCGATAAACTTATTGACAATCCCGACCTCCAAAGCTGATAAAAAAATTATTATTGATAACTACTAATTTACTATAATAATAACATCAATTTCTTTCGTGAGCAAATTCTAAACGTTTTGTTTTCAGTTAACAACCATTCTTCTTTAAACACAACAAATGCCTTTAATTTTAGTAACTATAAATTTCGATAAACTTCCTGTCGCATTCTGATTAGCAGCTGCTTGGCACTTTCTGCTTAGTACCTTCTGCTTGGCATCTGTTGCTTGAGACTTTTGCTTGATACTTTCTGCTTGGTATCTTCTGTTTGTATTCGAACCCAGGCACAACAACTGGCGAACGTATAAAGCAATTAAAAAACGAAACACTACTGCTTGGCACTTTCTGCCTGTTATCTTCTGCTTAGTACCTACAGCTTGGCACCTGTTGCTTGGCATCTGCTGCTAGGAACTTTCTGCTTGGCACCTGCTGCTTGGCACCTGCTACTTGGTACCTTCTGTCTGGTACCTTTTGCTTGGCACCTGCTGCTAGGAACTTTCTGCTTAGCACTTTCTGTTTGGTACTCTCTGCTTAGCACCTGCTGCTTGGTATCTTCTGCTTAGCATCTGCTTTTTGGCACCATCTGCTTGGTACCCACTGGTTGGCGCTTTCTGCTTGGCATCTGCTGCTTGGTACCTTTGGCTTGGTACTCTCGACATGGCACCTTTTGCTTGATGCTTTCTGCGTGGCATCTGTTGCTTGGGATGCTTGGCCTCATCTGCCTGGTAACTTCTGCTTGTTATCTTCTGCTTTTTCAATCAATCCAATTTTCGCTTATAGTCTCCATCCGTTATGGGTCGGACTTTTTTACTCCATTCATCAGTTTCTGTCTCCAAGCCGATCTATCCATTGCGTCTGTTTCCTTGAGACCAAGTGCCTTCAAGTCCTCCTGTATGATCTGCGTCCAGGCCTTTTTTGAACAACCTCATGGGCGGGTGCCAGGCACCTGGTGCTCAGTAACGGAAATGATTGTATCGTTTTCGCTTCGCATGGCCAAACCATCGTAGGCGATGACGACGACATGCATCATTCAACGTGCACAGTCCCGATCGGTTCAGGATCTCAATTGTATGGATATGGTACCTTAGGTCAACATGCTGCATCCAACGAATCATCTTCATGTCAGTTCGGTGAAGCAGCTGTTCGAGTTTTGTTGTCATCGGCCACGTCTTTGCACCATACATTAGAACAGAACGTATAGCTGTGTTGTATAGTTCTAATTGTCGCGCGTTTATGCAGGCGAGGCATACGAAATCAGTCACTTTCCTCAGTGAGCCGGTAATTCTCGAGCATCGTCTGTGACAACACTGCTGACATCGTAGGCATTTGATTGAGTTGCTTCCAACTCCAGCCCCACACACCGAATATGGCCAATGACCAGAGACCACAGGTGATCATAGTTTTTGTTTTATCAAGGTTTACCTTTAGCCCGTGTTCAGCAAGCTGGATATTCCAGACTTCAAACTTTTTAGCTGCGTCTTGTTCCGAGGCCGCCGTCAGAACGAAATCATTTGCATATATCACATTCCATATGTTATCTGAGCGTATCGGTTTGGTTATTTTTTCCATCACCGTGATGAAGAGCAGGGGGCTGAGTATTGATCCCTGATGAACGCCGACGTTAATATCAAATTCATTCGTGTTACCGGCTGTTGTGCTGACCAGAGTTTTTGTGTTAGTACGTTGCCATAACCAGCCAACCAGATTTTCGAGAACAAGCTGTCAACGTAGACTACACCTGATTGCCTCACGAGGCACTCTGTCAAAAGCCTTTTCCAAGTCCACAAAAACATGGAACAGTCGCTTTTGCTTTGCCATGTATTTTTCCTGTAGTTGACGAATGATATAGATAGTGTTATGTGCAGGACACATCGCTAATTATTGTTCTATTGTTTATGGGCGATAATTGATTGTTAACGTGACCCTAATTGTGAACATGCTTTATTGTATTCGTTCAATTCGTTAATTATAGAACTTGTTACTCGTTATATTTATATAACCGTAATAAAATAGTATACGTGCATTACGCTTATTGTTGTCTAATTAGTTTAGTTTCAACTCTTCAAATCACGAAACACGACAGATAGCATCAACGGTGGATCTCCCTGCCATGAAGCCGTACTGGTAACCAACTATTGAAACGCACGACAACAGTCTTCTCTTAATGATTTCTTCAATAACTCTCAGGGAATGTTCCAGAGAACGTATACCCCGATATGAGGAGCATTTCAGTGGATCTCCTTTTCCTTTATATATCGGCACAGTTGTGCTACTGTCCCATTCCACTGGTAGTATCGATTTACTCCACATCTTCTGATAGATGTGTAAGAGGGCTCTGAAACCTGCCCCATCAGATGTCTTGATGATATCATTTGTAAGTCCAGACGGACCAGCCGCTTTACCCACCTCCATTGCCTTCAACGCATCCGTAAGCTCTTCAGCTGTGACGCCCTGAATCGGTCCTTCCACCGGAAGTGCATCATGGTCCACCCCAACAGAGTTTGTTTCATTCAATAACTGATCGAAGTAATCCTTCCAATGATCCTTCACTGCATTCTGCAAGGTTGTTATGGTGCCTTTATTATTCTTAATGTATGTGGCACCAACCATATTTTTTTTCAGTCTTTTGGCCTTATTTGCTATTCGGCAGAGTGACCGAATTTGTTCGTCTTTACTTCCAGACAGCCATACCTTACACTGATTTGCACGAGCTATCGCAACCTGACATTTCGCTTCTGTGTTCTTTGATCGATATGTCTTTCGATCTTCATCAGTCTTCGTCTTCTGCCATTGTTTGAAAGCTGCTTTCTTCTTACTGGCAATAGCATTTTGCACCGTCTCGTTCCACCACCAAGTTTCGCGGTTGTGATGGCGTTTTGGTCAGGATTTTCCACATAAAACTGTTGCAGCGTTCGCTAGGGTGTTCTGAAAAGATTTGCAGGTTATGTCTAACTTCTCAAGACGATCCAGCTGTGCCGATACCAACTACTCCAATTTATCCCTGAACATAGGGTTCTTCAGTTTCCATGTCTTTAGTAGGCATTCGATTAGTCACAGGGCGTGATCGTTCCATGATCATATCGGCCACCAACAATCGATGTTGAGAAATGCATGCTTTGCCTGGAATGACTTTTGTATTCGTGAATAGTCGTCTGTGTTGTTGTCTGACAACAATAAAGTCAATTTGTGTGCATGACATCTCGCTTTTATATGTGATCAAATGTTCTGCCCTCTTCTTGAAATTAGTGTTCAACAGGGAGAGTTCATGGCTTTCAGCAAATTCCAGAATCCGTATACTGTCTTCGTTTTGAGACCCGTAGCCAAAGCCTCCATGGACACCGTTGAACTCATTTGCTTTATCTCCAACATGGCCGTTGAGGTCGCCACATATCAATGGTATCCCTGATGATGGTGTTTTCCGGACGGCATCTGAAAGTGTCTTCCAGAAGTCATTTTTGGCGTTTTTAAATTCACCGGTCTGTGGTGCACATGAAGAGAAAACCTGTTTTCCCATTCTGAGTTTAATCAGCATAAGGGGTGAGCTGATTCGAACTACCTCCAGTACATTTTGTGCCAGTGAATCCAGTATGTAGATTCCCACTCCATTTTGGGCTGTCTTTTGGCCATTCCAGAACAACTTGTAACTCCCAATGAGGGAGACACCATTTGATTTCCATCTTGTTTCCTGCAGAAAACAGATGTCAACCCTTCGCCTTTCCAGCATGTCAACGATTTTCATGGAGCGTCCAGTAAGCAATCCAGTATTTAAAGTGCCAAGTCTGATATTCCAGGAGAGGACGCCCGATTTTCCGCAACATCCCTCCCCTGTTGCGTACTTCCTGAATATTGTCACCCCTTGACCATTTAAGGTCTTCCAGGGAAAAGGGGATCTTTTCTTTTTTTGTGATGACAAGATGTTTGGGTCAAAAAATTGTTGTATCTGGAATTGCCCAATTTCTAACGACAACCACCAGTTATAAGCAGTGGGCCTAGCCTTTCTGCTGGAAGCATACACGGCAGCGCGGTTGCAGTTTATCTCGTGCCCAAGAAAGCACTGTTGTAAGCAGTGCACCTAGCCTTTGGGTCAAAGGTCCCTGTTCCACAAGGCAGTGGATTTAGAATCGAAAATTATCCGCTGTTGGAGCCGTTGTCCTGGGATCCTCCGCCTCTTTCATCGTTGTCTTCTATCTTCTAGTACAGTTGGTTCGCGGCATCTTATTCCGTATTATTCGATGCAATCCTAGAAGGTCTCCCCGCCCAGGACTTTCCCCTATCCACCACCTGGAAACGCGCCTCATAGCCAGTGCACCTGTGAAGTCTGCTGGGGTGCACTATTTTCTGCTTGGCACTGCCTTTTGCTTGGCACCTTCTGCTTGGTACCTACTGCTTGGTACTTTCTGCTTGGCACCTGCAGCTTAGTACCTTCTACTTAGCACCTTCTGCATGGCATCAGTTGCTTAGCACTTCAGCTTGGTACCTTCTGCCTGGTACCTTCTGCTAGGTACTTTCTGCTTGGCACCTTCTGCTTGATATCTTTTGCTTGGCATCTTTTGCTTGGTACTTCTGCTTGTTGCTTTCTCATGGCACCTTCTGCTTGGTGCTTTCTGCTTGGCACCTTCTGCTTGGTAACTTCTGCTTGGCATCTATTGCTTGGCACTTTTGCTTAGTACCTTCTGCTTGAATCTTCTGCCTGTTACCTTCTGCTAGAATGAAAAATTATCCATGAAGAAACTGAATTTATTGTTTCTAACGAACATTAGACCAAGCATCAATATGCTCCTGTTTCAGGACTTCATACTCCATGTTCACCAGTAGCTGAAGTTCCTATATGATAAAATTAATATCATGTACGTCATTATAATTATTCGCCTTATCATTATTGACAAAAAAATTAAAATAATATGTTTGCATTGATAAATGAAATGGAAACAAGAACATTTAACCCAAAATTTGAATGATATAGAACTACAACAACCCGCAATATTATTCGATAAAATGGTCTAATACTTGTAACCAGCTGAGAATGTAAAAAAACTCAACTCGCGAATACTACTTCGTGAACAAATGAACTGAACATATTTGAAGTGGAAAAAGGTGAAAAATGTAAGAGAATCAATGATATAATTTTTTAATATTTTGAAAATAATATCAGAGGTCAGCCATGCCTAACACTTTATAAACCATATTTTTATTGAACGTACGTACAAGTAAAATTATAGTATGATTATAATCTCAGTTATTGATAGGGTGTCTTTAAACTATAATATATCTTAAAAAGAGAACATGTCCTTTTTTACGTTGAATTCTCTTTTATTCTTTTTTTATTCGACTAAAATTTTCTTTTGTCCTCTTTTTCAATTCCAAAAAGAATATATTAAATTTTAATATAACTTTACGTTAAATGTTTTTATTCATAAAAGTTGATTTTGAAAAATGTCCAAAATTAAAATGTACAGCACATCTTTTTCAGAAGCGGCAAATGCGAGTAAAATTTTTGAGTTTGTTCAAAACAAAACAATATCTAACTTTCAAACAGATTTGTGAAAAATCAATTATTTATTATTTGTTGAATATTTGGTTAAATAAAACCAAATTTACTCTAGCTGAAATTGAATTGGAGCAGACAGCTTAATATGTTGTTTACAGTAGTTTAAAATGCCAAGAAAGTTAATTTTAAATAAGAACTTTAAACAAAAATATAAATTTATGAAGATAATTGATCAAAATAATTTATCTGTATGGCATGCAAATCAAAAAAGATTGCATTATCTAACAAAGACAAATTTTATATCAAACAGCATTTGGATAGTAAAAAACAGCATTTGTATAGTAAAAAAACCAAAATTTTGTAATGTCAGGTCAAATTTCATTTTCCATAAAAAATTTTGCGATAAGAAAATTTTCTGATTTAGACAAAGTGTCAGACTGCAAAACATCTTCAAAGTTTTCGGTCAACTGATAGCACAACTTAATTGATTTCAGAATTCTTCAACGATTCAAAAACACCAAGGGAACATTTCCTCATCAAAAATCTAGACAAGTGCAATAACAAAAAATGTTATAGCACCATTAATAATAATTCTAGTTCTAATAATAATAATAATAATAATAATAACTTGTTCACTTTTAGTGTGCAGACATTGATTGCAGACACTGATTTTTTTTCGAACATGTTTAGATTAAAAATCAAATAGTGTCAGGCGCAATTTTAGTATATTACTTTAAAATAATCGTAAAAGTTATAGTTGAAAAAATTTGTTCTACCTTAAAATGCCGTGAGGTAGAGGTAAAGCAGAAAAACACAAGCATAATAATATAATCTCACAATCAAAAGATTTAGATATGGGGATTTAGCAGAGAACCATATTATCAGTAACACTCTTCTGCATTTAAATAAATGGCCTGGTCAACATTATTCCTTCTGAAGTCCTCAAATGCCTCTATGTTGATGACGTTATGATAACGCTCAAAAATCACTGCATTGAAAATATTGAAAGAAAATTAAACGCAATATTAAAGGATATATTTGACTTGTCTTTCAAAAACGGTATCCTTTTCTCGAGCTCCAAAACTAAAGCTATCATTTTCTCAAAAAAGCGGGACAACGTTTACCTTAAATTAACATATAGAAATACGCAGATTCAATTTGGAAACCAAATAAAGTTTCTAGGTTTAATTTTTGACAACAAATTAAACTTTCTACCTCACATTCATTATGTTAAAAGCAAATGCATTAAATCCTTAAATTTAATAAAAGCTCTTTTTCATTACAGATGGGGAGCACATCCAAGTAAACTTCTATTAATTTACAGAGCCAAGATTAGATCAGTAATAGATTATGGATTGCAGGTTTATGGTGGAACAAGAACGCCGAACATGAAAGTTTTAAATCCCATTATAAATAGTTCATTAAGATGCATGGGTGTTCACAGAACATCACCTGCAATTAGTGTTCTAACATTAATAGACGAAGTGCCCATTGATCTCAGATGCATCAAGCTCTCATTAAATTACTTTTATACAACATCTTCCAATCCAGATAAATCCTCTCTACATATTTCCTTTAGTATACAAAATTCTCTATAATAAAAACCTAAGGTTACTAAACCATTTAACCTACGCATACTGAAACATACTATCAAACTATATAATATTAACTAATTTTAAAGCTGAAACATTCTATATCTGAAAATATCTCTGAAAATTTTAAAAACATTGAAAACATCACCACTGTTATAAACTTCATCAAAGATTTAGGATATTAAAATAATATCTGACAACCCACTCCAATGAAAACAGACAATGGCAATCATAGCACCGGGGCTTGGAGCTGAAGTGCCGTTAAAGCGTCTATACAACAACAATAAAGCAGAAAAACGTAAAATAGTATGTGAAATAGCTGGATTCAGGCTGTGCGAAACTTGCAAAAAAAGAAATGAAAAGAAACTAGAAAGTTTGGCTCAAACAGAAGAAATAAAGCTCAAGTCATGGAGATTTCTGGAAACCTATTGAAAATCTGAAATGTTTTGGAAAAAGTTGAGTTAAATTAAGATAATTATAAAAAACAAGAAATACAGATAAAAGAATTGAATGAAAAAATTAAAGAATTCTGTGATGTACAGATTAAAAGAAAACGAAAATGTGGTTAAAAAATAGTCATAACGTACATATATCTGGGGATGAAGGAAGCAGAAGGAACGCAGCAACGAATGGCGAAAAGGGACAATTCAAAAAGGAATACTATTGTGTGATTATTGATGGAGAAGCACATCATCCAAATGCTGATCAATTGTATTGAACATTCTGTTATAACCGTGCTACCGAACGCACTAGATTCTAGCGTATTCTAGAATGTTCTAGTGACTGGAGCATTCTAGAGTATGCTAGAATCGGACCATCTAGAAGAATCTAGAAACGACGCTTGCGAAGAGTATATAAGCGCACGTCGCAAGAAGATTAGCGATTAGTGAAATTCGTGATTTTGTAAATTCGTGACTCTGTGATTTCGTGAATAGCGATTCGGTGAATTATTTAAAGCGATATTTGATTTGTTTGTTGACGTTGTCATAGCGATAGATTTTGAACAATTTAAAAGTTAATTGTTGCGTTAATTTGAATTTGCTAGAAATAAACGATTAGTTGATTTCTTCTGTAAATAAAGTTTAATAACTAATAACTGTTTGGAGTATTTTATTCAATCGAAGATTTGAACCCGTCGCATCGTAAATCGGTTACGACAGCGAGTATTATTACAATTCTTTTGAAAAAGCAATTATAGACCTCAACGAGTACATTCTCAACAGACAAGATAAATTAATTGAAATAATTGCAAAAGATGATGAAATTAAAAAGAAATATTCAATTTTTAAAGAAGTAGATAAAATTAAAAGTCGTAATTTTATAGATAAAAACGTAAGCAAAACAGAATTTAAAAAACTTTTAAAAGATTATCATTAAAAAAAAGTACAAAGATAAACAACTACATGGTCAATTTTTTTAATTATGTAAATAAAACGGGAATAGATCTGATAAAAACATGAGAATGGTTAAAAAGTTCAGGATTGAAAGTGAAAACCGAAAGCTTTTTAATAGCTGCGCAAGATCAGGCATTAAACACCAGATACTTTCAAAAAAGAGTACTCAAACCAAATGTTGATGGTCTCCGTAGAATGTGTCACAAGCACGTTGAAAGCATTAACCATGCGATCTCTGGATGTCCTGTACTGACATCAACTGAATACACCAAGAAACACAATCAAGTTGAAGCTATTTCTACTGGATGATAAGTAGATATGTTGGATTAGAGACATATGTAGAATATTATATGCATGAACCGAAGAATGCAACAAACTATATCTATGGTAGAACTTTATGGGGCACACCAGTTATAACAGATAGAAAGATAGAAGCAAGCAGACCAGATATTATAATCCAAGATAAAAACTTAGATGGAAATTAGGTGTCAGGTTTCTTTATTGGCTGGTCCATCATGTCAATTAGGACCGCTTCTGCAATTTTAAAATGCGTGAAGTTGGTGTTCTGGTATATTACTGCTCCATCTCTCTCGAGAATTAGAAGATAAAAAGAATGTAGTTCAAGATTTGTCGAATCAACTAACTGATTTGTTGAATCAATGGGATCACTGTGATGTTGATTGCAGTGTCAAGAATGAACTAAGCCTATGCCAGAAAGAATTCATAAATGCATCTATGCAGTCATCAAAACTAATACTTCATAAAAAACTGACCAACCAGATAACCGAAGGAAAAAAGTAATATACCAGAACATCAACTACACGCCTCTTAAAATTGCAGAAGCAGTCCTAATTGACATCAATAAACTAAAAATAAATATATAACAAAAAATGACAGCCTCACTCCCAACCCGGCGCTTAATCAACAATGAAAATAACGATTGAAAATTAATGGGGAGACTGGATCGCCCTGAAAGACACATTGTCTAACTGGTACCGAAAGAGTAACGTAGCTGCTTCTTGAAACAGATACTGTATAGTTCAAATATATGAATTTAATTAAATTGATAATCTAATGCGGAGAAGGCGAGCTTGTGGCTGACTTCGCCGAAAGCGTTGCGGACGTCTAACAGAGTGACAATTTATGGTGCGTTCATGTCTTTTTGCGTCCTTGAGCCTTTGAGTCAGGAGTTGGGAGTACTTGGTTAAGCCGCAAACTTTTGGGTAGAAATCTTTTTGTATATTTTTGTTTATAATTGAGTTGATTTCGAGAAAATTAAAGATTCTATTATTGGTAAATAATGAAAATTTGACGGCAATTTGATAAAATAGTCGAAGATAACCAGCATTGCGAAAGTAATTGGTGAAAAATCGTGTGAAGGATAGGGCATCTTTTGAAATAAATATGGATATTTGATCTAAGGGACAGGTAGACGATTAAACTTTGTATTTACAAATGATTGTTGATATATCGTGATATGAAGGAGAATTTAAAATGCAAGGTGTCGTCGGTTTTGAAATTTTAGGAATTTGGAAGTTAATAGTTAACGAGATTGTCGTCGTTTAGGATGGAGCTTAAATAGTTTTTGCAGTTGTCGACAGTAAACAGTGGACTCTAGCTGTTTGGTTGGATGAACAACTTTTTACAGGTCCACCAAAAACGACGTTTAAGTTGATTAGTGATGTCTGGTTTTTGATCAACGGTTAATTTCGCTGTTGAAAGTTTTGACCTTAATTTTTTGGCAACCAAACTACTTTGAACATCAAATTGATTGTAATTGACCAAGAGCTTCAAGTTGTTTTAATTCTTTCTTCAAGGATTTTATATTTATTTTAATTGCTGTTGTCGTTTAAACATGTTTTTAAATTAATAGTACCATAGTTGGAAGCGAAGTAGTTGTAGATCATTGATTGAAATGCTAACGTGAACTTGTCGAGATTGTAATAAGCTCAGCTCAATTGAAAGTAAGCATTGGCCTTTGACCATTGTGCAGGGTTTTATGGCAGTTTGATCCCTGGCGAGGCTTCTTGATGTGTTCGATATTTATTGAAGACACCAACATTGGTTATTGCTCTTGTGGCAGTGTTGCAGGTGATAAAGTATTTTTTGCGGATGCGTTCATAACATTCGATAGCTGTTAAGTTTTGTGAACCTTGCATGATCGAAGGTGCATTTCGAAGCTCTTCCTGCCATTGCAAAATTTACAGCAGCAGCAAGCGATTTGATTATTGTTAGAGTTGTTGTTAGGTGGCGATGAAGGTGATGAGGATGGTTGACTGTGACTCAGTTGAAAGAGTGATTTACGCTTTTATTTTTTTGGACTTAATTACTTTCACGTTTAAAAAAATTAAATTAATTGTTTATTTTGTATACATAATTCATTTTCATAACTTCACATTATTCTGCTTGTTATTTTCATTTTATTATATTTTTATTTCTTATTTTACAAGAGTGTAAAGGGTTGTGCGGCTTTCAGTCAGATATTCAAAAAATAATAAAAAAAGTGAAATAATTCCACAAGTCAATTCAAGTTGTAAATGTTATAGAAACACCGAAATATAAGTTTTTAAATAAAAAAGCAATTGATTTTTCAAATGTTTGTAATTAAGTAAAACCTGAAAAAAAAATTAGAAAAGGAGATAAAATTTCGTAAGTTGAAAATTGAAAAAAACGCAAGCGACTGGATGAGCGCTGCTCTAAAAAAACACGTAAGTGTTTAGTAATTGAGGGTTAGAGAGAAGCATCGATGAATGACATGACACGTTAGCCATTGGTGAAACATTCAAAAAATGACTAAATCTTACAAATCTGATGACTTTGAATTTCAACAACCAATAGTTATATATAAATAATTGAGAGACAAAGTTATCTCACCTCAAGGCATTCTTTCTTGAGTCTTCCAACATCATCATCAACCAAGTGACTGATTCCTTCACGTGACTTTGAGTATTTCACCAACGTCATGAACTTCATGGTGCTACCAGTTTCTGATTTGAGCCTCAATATTTCTTCCGTGGCATTCGTTAGTACAATTATGACGAGAAAAGATGGTGATATGTTGATCTGGAACATTGTGCAGTTTACGTCTTGACTTGTCTTTACCATCTTTATTCTAAAAATTTGTCAGCGTTCAGTCAAAACAAAATTTGTACGTCACTACTGTCTGTTGAATAATTTTAAATTGATTGATGAAGCAACTGTTTTTATTATTATTCTTGAAGTCAAATACATGACTAAGATAACAAATTTCAACATTTTTGTCATTTAAATTATCTTGCAACTTGTTTTATCATTTTAATGAGCATTAAATGACAAAACGACGTAATACTCCAAAAAGTTATTATTCTATCTTTGACAAAAAAACTATGTAAAGATAAACTTGTGGTATGAGATGTTGCCAGCATCCTTCACAGATTGCTTGCTGTTTGTTTTCACTTGTAAGATAACATCATAAGCCTTCATGGTGATACATTATTATCATAGAAATATCCTCACCAAAATTGTTAGCTTGAAAACAAACAAACAAGCAAAAAATCAAACAAACAAACAATAACAATAAAATCAGCATAATATTGTTATAACTGCCGGAATGATCATATCGCTGTATAATTTGATTATTGTTATCTTTGCTATATTTGTAATCTTTGGATAGGGGATCGTAAAAAGACATCGTAAAAATCTAGGCTATATATGGGTCCAGCGTAGTCATGTTTACAGTTAGGTTCACAAGTCGGGTTTACAGTCAGGTTTCCAGCAGAAAAAGCAAAGTCGTAAATTTGATTTACGTAGTTATTGGATTAGTTTGATGTTTCTATTACTGTTTGTATTTAAATAAACGTTCAGCAAAGTTTGCGTTTGAAGCAGTTGTGTTCGTCTATCGAAAATCTTGAACCCACGGAATAACGAACTCTTGACAATCGTTAAAAGCTACAGCGCTGGTGGCAGACATTACTAATGAATGCATCTTGAACATCAGGTAACATCATTGAGGCAAAACTGAAAAACAGTAAATGCAGGAGCCAACAAATTGTTCTGGTAAAACTACGTCGACGTCCAAAATATCAAAGATCATGGTGCGAAAATGCCTGATAGAGATCAACAAAGGCGGCAGAGTTCCGGTCCAGATAACAAATGTATCGAAGAACCCAATTAGAATAATGGATGGCAGAGTGATTGGCAGTTTTCAACCAGTAAAGAAATCCGTCGAAGAACTCCGCCAAAGAATGGACAATATCCACCGGAACGTGCGAATCAGAACGAGAAAAAGCACGGATAAGACCAAAACTCGGTATAACATCAAAAGTAGTAGCTCAGAGTCTAACAAAAATAACTTCATCAGGCCGTACAACCCACAACGTTGCCCAAAACTCAAAGAAAATTGAGAAAGTCCATAGGGGTCATTAACAGAATAAATGACATGACCTACAAGACCCAAGATCATGGAAGAAAATGGACAAAGATGAAAGTTGTCCATTTTAAGTTTATCCCCTGTTTATCGAAATCAAGAAATGACGCCAATGTTAGGGGCCAAACAGGCTAAGGTGGGAGTAATTTAATAACTGCCAAAATGATCAAATTGCGCAATATTATTTGAATATTGTCATCTTTGATATATTTGTAATTTTCGGATAGAAAATCGTAAAAATCTAGTCTATATATACGTCGTCAGATTACAGTCAGGTTTACAGCAGATAAAGCGAAGTCGTAAATGTGATTTATATAGTTACTTGGATAAGTTTGATGTTTCTATTACTCTTTGTATTCAAATAAACGAATAAATATCGAATAACTTGACAGTCCAAGTTACAACTATATAGAACTTACTGTTGGATTGAAGACTTTAACTTCCTGTACAAACAAAGATGGTCTAGTTCTGTGTGCGTAGTATGTGCTTCTGATTTCTAAACACTTGTCGTCCTGTAATAGTACATACGTGTTATCTTTCTTCACAATCAGTTAACTACTGGACGAGTTACGTAATTAATAAGATAATGGAAATATTAAAAAATAAAATTTTTAAACAAATAATAGATAAAACCTTGACATTGCAAGTTGTAAATTTCAGTTCCCTAGTGTCAGCTATAAAAAAACGACTAACAAAACCTCATCATATTTTGTTGTGAACAAACTGTTTCACAATAAAATAATAAATTATAAAACTAAAATAAGCAAGCAACTGATTGCTATAAACAAATAGCTAAATGGATGGTTGAAGGCAGTGTCAGAATAAAACAAAGCAAGAGTGGGTATAAAAAGTAAGTATTTTGAAAAAGCTCAAAAATTGCAAGCCCGGTGATATTCCGAATTAATAAACGTTTTATATTGACGTTTGAAAAAATTATCTTTAAAATTATTTTCATTCCTAAATTCTGAAAGAATAGTGTTTAGTGTGTAAAATAAGAAAATTATAACTATAAGCCTCAAATCGAAAAAATCAAAAAAATGGAAAATTACAATGAATAATGAAAACAAATAACTAGCAACTAAAAGAAAACAATAAAAAAGTGTAAAAAATAATGAGAAAATTGGAAAATAAACAAATGTGAATTTGTGACATACCAACTGATAGCATTGATATAGTTCGACCAAGCCTTCCAACATCTTCAACACCAGAGCCTCTATTAATTATCACCATTTATATAAATTACTGATTCACATTTATTGTTATAAAGCCAAAAAAAACATAATGACAAAAAGACAAAAAACATAATGACAAAAAGACAAAAATCCCAATAAACCTCGTTTGCCAAATAAATATAACAAAATATAATTTACTTCTGTCCTCAGCGTTATCCATGCTTAAGAAGAAGAGAGGTTGAAGCCCCGTTGAAATGTTGAGCAAGTTCCCACCTCTGATGTACAACATGCTCTCCTTTTCTAGATCTAACCCTATTAAACCATTGCCTGCCAGACATTTCAGTGGAGATAATTACACTATAACAAACCTTCATTGTTGTTCCCATAATATGGTGATGATCATTTAATGACAAATAGGTAAAAAACACTTTAAATATTAAAATTTTAGAGTTCACATTCCTAGTGTTACAAATTTTATTTATAAAAAGAAACAAACCTATGAAAGGAAAAAAATAATTTTCGTTCGGCAATAAAGGTATGTGGTTAAAAATGCTGTCAAATGTATCCAGACTGTTTTGTAGATTGGATTTTATAACACCTATACACGCTTTCAATACGGAAGTATCTGATAAGATAATTTCAAGTGCAAATAAATACTAGCTTTATATGCATCAAAATTTAGCAATAGAAAATTATAGAAAAAAAGTTTGTTAAATTTCATTAAAATAAACAACATTCAAAGCTTTGCCTACTCAATTGATTTTCATGATTATTTAAATTTATGATATGCTGTAAGGTAAAAGTTTTTATCATCTTTTGTCTATTGATTGGATTATGTATATTTTTATATATGAAGCCAATAAGGCATTGATAAAGTCAGTTACTAATATAAGCCAGTTACTAATAAAAGCCAGTTATTAGTTTAAGTCAGTTACTAATATAAAAATAGTTTCGAAGTAGCTCAGTCGGTAGAAGTGCCATGTAATCTGCAATTTAAAAATAGTATAAGCAGTTACTAATATAGGTCAGTTACTACTATAAATCGGTTACCAATATAATTCGGTTACTTATCTAAAGTGAGAATGCCTTAAATATTGTAAGATTATATGATAAAACAAAAGGAGTCCGATAAAAAAATTTTCCGACACAGACACCGTCATTGAAAATTTTTCCACTTCGACCCCGAATAAAAATTTCTGACTTCAATTCCCGTCTCCGACTCCGCGTTCCCAGAAAAACTCCCAAAAAATTTTAACTTTTGCTTCATAATTTCACTTCAATGCCACTACTAAACTAACAACACTTTAAAAATCACATGTAATTGTTTTTCTTAGTAAAATTACCTTATATTTGTTTTAAAATATACATAAAAAGAGATACGTGATTTTATTCACATTATTAGTAACTATTTTCAGTGTTAAAAATGATTGCGTGTCACTTCCCACATATATATTTTCAAAAAAACCCAATTTTAAAAATTATTTTTAGAATAAAAAATAAATTTTTTTAAATTCTTAACACTTTCCGGAATAGAATGAAAAATATTTGACTCCGACTCCAGTCCTTCAAAAAATTCCGACTCCTCCAAGTCTCCGACTCCAACCAATAACAGTTTTTCTATTATACCAGGTGTAACAGTTTAACGAATAAATTGAAAACTTCATTCAAATTTATTTGCCAATTAATAATACAAAAAAATTCAAGAAGAGACACAAAAACAATATAATAAAGAGTCAGAGTAGAGAATAAAATAATTATTCAAAATATAGAGATGATAACGCTAAATACGATACAAAAACTGTTATAAAATAGCTAATATGTCTTTCCTAGCAAGCTCAAACAATATAGAAGTTTAACTTTCGATTGATACGATCAATATTTAAAGCAAATAAATTAAAAAAGTTAATTTATTTAAACCTGGATGAAAATTTTGGGACCATATCTTGCTGGAATTAAGTGGTGAATTCTCATGGGTCAAAAATAAAATGATCATAAGAACTATAACCACTAGAATCACAAGAAAAACTGATTTTTTGTTTCTGAAAATGTTAACATTGAAAAAAAAATAAAATAAACAACTTATAGATAAATTAAATTAACGATTATGACCAATGATTGATTGACACTATATCCTTTCTAAACGTTTCCATAATAATCAACATCCCCCTATGATAGAACAACAAATTAATGAAGGAAACAAGACTACCACCAAATATGCCATCATCTAAGGTTATTCATTCACTTGTAATTCAAGATTATTGAAATGAAAATCTAATAATAAATGTCCAGTATACTGCATGTGACTTGTTTTAAGAAATTTACCAAGGTTACTTAGTTTACATGAATAGAATATGCATCTCGTAAATATATACAATTGTACATATTGAAATAAATGCTCTGAAAACCATTTATGTTGCAATAGCAGTAGTTGCATTGGCAATAACAATGTTCTTAGTAATTTATAGAAGGTAATTTATACGCATAAACAACTGCAGTGGTAAATGCAGCCACAGAAGCCAAGATGCTTC